AGGGAAATAGTTGAATAAATTAACTTTAGCCTAAACCCCAAAATACCAAATCAATCAAACATGACCCGGTTAATCATCAAGCACAGGCATCGAAAATTACAGATTTGTGTAGCTTAAGTGCGGGAAATTGTGAATATAAAGGGATTACACTGAGTTTGGTCACAGGGAATCTATCATTCTCCAGGTTTCGGGGAGGCGCCATACAAGCACAAACAATTCTTCTCTTGTCCTTTGTATGCTTGTCACACCATGTATTTGTACCCGAAACTGCAAATCTAACGAACCGAGGAGAGAGACCACTGGATATACTCAACGAAGGCAAGGAAGAACAGGACAAAGAATCCATGGTATTTCAAGAAAAAAAATTCAGGATTCGGACACACATAAATTTCTGGAATCAAAACGTAATCTCTCCGTCGATAGGAGAAAACAAAATTCGCTCTTGAAAGAAACTGGTCTTACGAGCGATGAAATTGACGACCTAAAAGCAGAACCTAAACAAATTCATGGCCAGAAACCACGAAATTGATCGAACTTTACAATGTAAACTGAAATTCAAAATGGTTTCGTTCAATTTACGGAAATGATAGAAGACACACATAAACGAAAGCAAAAATCATGAGTTGGTGCAAATGGCAGGTACAGTGAGAAAGGAATTTTGAAAACGAAGGTCTACATAATTTAAATAATCAACGAGAAAGTTGGCCAAATTGGCTTCTTCAGACCAACACGAAACACCTCCGAGGAAGACATCAAGCGTCGAAAAAGACAACGAGTCGTCGAAATGAGTCAACAAATGAGGGGGCGAGTGAGGGGGAATTTCGGCTCGGAAAATTTTAGAAATGAAAATTAAGTCGGTGTTTGGATCAATTTTTTTAAAATGCAAATTAAATATATAAATACGTTAGAAACTTTAATAATAATAATAATAATAACAACAATTGACAATATAAAATAAGAGAATTAAAAAGTAAAAAATAAATTTTTTAAAAAAATTATCATTACAACCTATATTTATATGTTACATAAAGTCATGAATTAAATTAAAATTAAATTATAAATTAATTATGAGGATATAAAAGGGAAAGAGGAATGGAATAGGAGGAATAGTCATACCTCATGAAATTTGAAAGATTTACAGTACTCTTTCTTTCACATGTAATGTAACAACCTCATTTCTCTGTTGAGTAAGGAGCATTATTCATCACACATAATCTGATAAATTTACGCAGCACTAAATGAAAACTTAAAATTCAATCATCTTCTATACGGAATTATAAGTCACAAAACTTATAAAATTCTTTACATTACATCGTTATAATATAATTAAACTAATTTTATAAGACGAACGCTTACTGTCACTAAAGGTTCTTCAAAATCTTCTTTTGACCTTGAACTTTCTTTTGATATGGACTAAAAGTATGAATTGGGGTGAGTTTTGCGGACTCAGTAAGGAAAAGGGACAGTGCCCACAACAGTGATATGCACACACTCAATCATTAAATCTTTTAAATTAGTTCATTAGTAAACATTCAGAATTTTTTATTTTAGTATCATAACTCATGGCATAACAGTTACATAAATAGCATAATTCAATATTCAGTATCATAAATTAAGCAGTAAGCAGTTCAACATATATTAATTTAATATTTCAGCATCGTAAATCTTACTCATGACTTCCTATTCCTTCTCATCAGTTTATATCTTGTTAAAAATAGTTTTACCACGCGATGTCATTTCTGTCGGCATCAACGAGGGTAGTAAGGATCCCCTCTACCACGTGAATATGATACAATACAGTTCAGAGTTTGTAGTATATAGTATATAGTTCACAGGTATTATCGTTTTGCCACGTCTAGCTAAAGTCGTATTCACGGGTAGGGTTCACCACAGTCACACGTCAAAATGCTATACACACACCTATCCTTCAATGATACCGGTTAAACTAATTTTCTAGTTTTTTAAAGATTCTTATATTATTTTTTTACTAATCAAGTTCATCACTAGATGACCTACTCAGGCATGCACCTACTTATATATCATATATGTTATACATCAATATGCTTATACAATAAGTACAATATATACACCTTATATGCGCAATTATCAACTCAAGTAAATATATATGCACATACAACACATATAATATGAATATATTTGTATATTTACACAAGGCATATGTGCATTATATACGCAGGCACATACAAGTTGTTCACTCATACATACGCACGTTACACAACCTACAATTATACATATATATATATGTGCGTCACATACACTTATAACTCGATAACTAGCATGCATAAAATCTGCATATACAGACAAGTAATAATATGAATACATAATTATACGTCATACACAACATCATGCAGATCTCTAATCATACGCAATTGTACACACACATATATGATGAGTTCGCAGAACTCACATTAGAAAACGTGAACATTTTGTAAAGTTTGTAAACAAGTCATTTCAACAGAAAATAAAGTTTCATAAAAACATGGGAGCCTATGAACAAGACTACCCAATCCCTTACCTATAGTCGAATCGAAAGGTGTCGGACTCCTTATTGATCGAGTATACGGTCATCTCTAAATTTCGACTACCGTTTAGATAATTTCTTTATTTGCAAACAAAACATGTGGGTTAGAATACGGATATTGTGGAAATAATATAATACAAAAGGAGATCAAGTTTGACCGTAGTGTGATCTCGATCACCGAAATCGCCGGATGCCACTATACAAGTGTCCTTGATTTGTTACGCATCGCTGTCGGAGCGTTCTTGCCGGAGTGCCACTACCAGACCACCACACACCGCTGTGAACCACCGAAAATTGACCGTAATTCACCACGAAATGCTTCGCGCACTCAGATCCAGCTCGTATATGGTAAAATCACGCAGAAAGAAGCTAAAGATAGGTGACTAACTGTCGCAGATCTCCTTCTTTTTCGGATGCACGCCGTCGCACGATTCTCCCTCTAGTTTTCGATCGCTTAAATCATCGGCCGCTTGGACTCCTCGGCTCGTTGCAGGGAAAGTCGCGCACCGTCACAGACTGCCTCACACAGGTCGGTTGGCAACCACGACCTTCTCATATGTCTCTTTCTCTCTCTCCGCATAACCCTATTTCTCTCTTTATTTTCTATCTCCTTTCCGATTTCTTCCCCTTTTCCTTTAATAGTCAAGAGGATGAAGAGCCATGCACGCCTCTTCTTCCTTCTTCTTCGGCGTGCGGGTTTTGACTTCTTCCTCGTCTTCCTTGGCGGCCAGAGGTATACACGCCTCTGGTTGCCCTAATTTTTTTTTCTTTTTTCTGTCACCAAAACGGCATCATTTTGTTGCTCTCAAAACGATATCGTTTCACCTGTTTCTATTTTTTCTTCCTTTATATCAAAACAACATTATTTTTAGGATTTCCCAAAATGACATCGTTTTAGCTTTTCCTACTTCTAAGAAGCAGATGGGTTGGGTTTTTTTCTCTCGGGCCGGGTTGTTACATGTACATTTTAAAATAAAAAAAAAATCTCTTGTTAAAAATGTTACAAGAAAATCTAGTTTGACAAAATTTTGGTCAGAGTAAAAAGAGTATAATATATAGTAACTCTTCCTAATAAAAATATTATTTCATTTGTCTTAATTGATATACACTAATATTATATACTAATTTCACAAATGTAATCATAGATAATTATTTAGTAAATAAAAATATATTATTTATAAAAATATTTGTTTCTCCAAGTAATAATATATTTACATTATAGAACTAAATTTGGTATTACCATATATTGTATTAACATTAGCTTTATTTTTAAATAATTCAAACATTTTTTTAATGTTTTAATATAACATGTATTATTTTACTATTAACGAAACATATGTCTGCATCGTGATTTAAATGTTCTTTATCTTTTGTGGCTTTTTAATTGAGCTTTTCAAGGAAATGAGTAATGCAACATGAGTTCAAGAAAGATGTAGAGTTATCTCTTGTAAATGTAACATGATTTTTTGGCCTTTCTTTTCAAAATATGAAAAGAAATCATGAACATTTTCTTTTTGCCTCTCCTAATTCCAAGTTATCTTTTCATCAAATTCAACATCTCTACTCACCAGAACCTTGTTATTACTTGGATATACAATTTGTAATCTTTTAAATTTATATCATAACAACGAAAATATGTTTGACACTTCGATCATTAAGTTTGGATCTCTTTTTTATGGAACATGAGAATATGTAATGCTTTTAAAGACTTGTAAATGGTTAACACTAGGCTTCATTATGCTTCATGTTTTTTGGGAGTCTTGTCTTTCACACTTGATGTTAAAAATCTATTGGACAAATACATTGCTTAAGAAATTGATTCGACCCAAAACTCCTTGGACATACTTTTGACTTTTAGCATGCTTCCAGCTATATTAAGAATAAATATATTCTTTTTTTGCAACTATATTTTGTTATGGTGATCTTGGAACTGTTAAAGGGCGACAAATTATATTAAATTCACAAAAATCTTGAAATTCCTTGAAAGTAAATTCGCTTCCTTTATAATCTCAAGGATTTTATTTCATAATTATAATTTTTTTCTATATAAGCTTTAAAATTTTAAAAAGCAACAAAAACATTTGATTTTGCTTTAGAAAATGCAACAAAGTCATCCTACTAAAATCATCAATAAAAAATAGAAATATTTATTTTAACCAAATGAAGGTTGATTGATTAGTCTACACACATCGACATGCACGAGTTGAAGTAGCTTGGTTGCTCTTGAAGTGATCATTTTGGAAAACTCCTTTTTAAGTGTTTCCCAAGTAGACATGTTTCACACAATTAGTTATGATAGTTGATCAAGGCATCCCTTTTGCCATTTTTTCTTCTCTCATTGCTTGAATATGTCAAAGTTCAAATGACCAAATCCACATGCCAACACCATGTTTTATCTTTTAGCCTTCTAGCATCTTGCTTTAATAGTCTTGAGATTTAACACAAATATTCTATTCTTTGATATATGCACTTTAGCGATCAAATTAATACTCTGATCACCAAACCAAAGATAATAACTTTTCATGTCAATTTTGATATTATTTTTCAAGAAGTTGGTCTAAGCTTCAAATATTCTTTCTCAACTTTGACACATAATAAATATTAATAACAAGTACATACCCACCATTCTTTAAAGAAATTAGAAGTTTACACTTTGGACTTTAAAGAGTTGCCAAAAAAAAACATTGTCATCGATTTTTTCATCAAGTTCCACAATTTTTTTCTTTGTAGTCACACATGAGATTGCTTGCTCCATTGTCAAAGTACCACAAAGTATGGTCATTACTATCTCCATCTTTGTGTGTTAGCAACAAACTCGTTTCTTTTTAAATCTTATTTATCATTAACAAGATTGACTTGCTCCTCATTTTCGTTTAAAGTGCCACGACACTCCTAAGCATAATGGCCATATTTGTGATAGTTGTAACATTTAATGTTTCATTTGTTAAACCTTCTATAATTACCTCTTCTTCTTCCTCTTCGATGACTTCTACTTGATTGTTGGCTTTCATCTTCATTTTAAGCATCATCTTGAGTGTTATTTTTTTTTTTGGCACTTGAAAATGATCACGATTGCATTCTCTACCTCTTTCTCATCCTTTTTTTCTTCCATCATCATTCAAAGAGATATTTGATTTGAGAATTTTCTCTAAAGACTCCTATTATCTTCTCTTTATTTTGTCTTCATGGGCTTGTAGTGATCTCTCTAATTATTCAAAAGTTATATTGTCTAGATTTTTTTACTCTTTAATGACACACACTATATAATCAAATTTTGGTAACAAAGATTGAAGAATTTTT